GAAAATAATTTCTTGGAGAAGTTATCTTTTGACTCTTAAGGTTGCGAACAAAATGATGAAGCAGACTTTAGGCTAGAAACTTGAATTGAAATAATCATTCCACGTAACTACGTATTCTTCAGTTCTGTAATAAAATTGTTAAACATGTGTAAAATTAACGACGGAAAGAAATTTAAAATAACATTAAAACAAAAACAGAAAATAAAATTTACGAAATATGACCCAAAAATGTAATTGCAAAAAATTCAAAACTTCAAAAAATACGAAAAGAAGAAATGTAAGCTAATACAAGTAAATCCTGTACTACTCATGATACTATACTAATTAGTAAACGTAAAACTGTAAAACTGTAAAACAGTTTTACGTTTACTAATTAGTATAGTATCATGAGTAGTACAGAATTTAGTTGTATTAGCTTACATTTCTTCTTCTCGTATTTTTTGAAGTTTTGAATTTTTTGCAATTACATTTTTGGGTCATATTTCGTAAATTTTATTTTCTGTTTTTGTTTTAATGTTATTTTAAATTTCTTTCCGTCGTTAATTTTACACATGTTTAACAATTTTATTACAGAACTGAAGAAGACGTATTTACGTGGAATGATCATTTCAATTCAATAAAGTTTCTAGCCTAAAGTCTGCTTCATCATTTTGTTCGCAACCTTAAGAGTCAAAAGATAACTTCTCCAAGAAAAATCAAGTTCAAATGCGACTCATAAATATAGCCCCCTTGAACTACTAGTGAAAATAGGATATCATATTTCATTTGAATCACTTACAAACGTATTTATCACTATCAGCAGAAATCATCAAATTACTTATCTTTTTTTTTCCAGACTAAGAAATTTGTAAACATATAATGGTAAATTTCGGATCAGCCACATTCTAAATGTTTAATTTACGCAGACCCACGTTACCATTAGAACAACTCAATATCAAGCAACTCGAATTTTTTAAATGCGTTATATTGTAGTTTAAGACTAAATTTGGATCATAAATTAGGTCATAAACAGGGCTGCTCCAAAGCTCTTCCAGCCTTACTGAAATCCAATCCACCTCTTTACAATACCTTGACCTTCTGATGCGACTAAGCTTCTGATAAATACGACCTCGGGTGTAACATCGTAACAAATGAGGTCCGAAGCACGGCAGCTTAAATAAGCAAATCTTAGTCAATCAGTCAATGGTGGGTACTAGTAAAGACAAAAGTAGAGATAAAAGTAGTCTCGTTTATAGTGTTCAAAATGGTCACATACGAGCTTTTATAATCAAGTAAATTTAATATCAATCCCAATTATAATAATATGAATCCCAATTATAATAATTAGTAACTCAAATTATGAGTCATAAGGTTGATAAACGGTTGAACCAGCTCATGAACAACCGCGTTAAAATTACGTCAGCTCTCAGTTGTTAGGAGTTGGATATTAAAATCAGTCGATTATACTTTATTGCAACAGATATAAGTGCTAATTTTCGTTCTTCACGTGAACTAACCGATTAGGTAGCGCCACCACAATCGATTGAGCAGTCAACGAAGTGGTGCAACAGTTCAACTCCCAGATAGTTAATTGTTAACCCGAGGGACGATACCGTCTATGACAGTGACAATTCCACGAGACATAGCGAAGACTCAGTCACATTGCAGGAAATTCTTACAATTCTGGAACAATCGCGTCAATATATCATCGTAATCATAAATCATTCCAACTGATCATTCTAACATGATTGATGATAATTCTAACTTCTGATTTCCTTGATCGATGATACAAAAACATTTTACATTTGAAACCAAACCTTAACTATAAACTAATCTTACAGATGAATCTTTAAACCGTTTAATGCTAGCTTATCTCTAGCCACTAGCTTAATCTGTATGCACACAAAACAACTAAAATTTCGATTAAATCAGTGACTAATTTAGAAATACTTTCAGGAATTCCTTGCGAAAAACAATAATTACAAGAATAACTTTATGGAAAATGGAAAAAAGCATACCTGGAAAGGGAAGAGGATACCAATAATAAGCTGTTCCTGCAGTAGTCTATAACTTATATTATAAGTGCAATATCAGTGACTGAGAGTGACTCCCATCTTCGGGAGAATTTGTTCTGTAGTCGTCTCCATTACCATCTTACGGTATATTTCTTGTTACAAATTATGAACAAGAAGGCAAAGTGTTGATATGTTTGATTGTCAATCGATTAGATTTAGATTGTAAATGGTTCCACCGAATTACAATTAAAGTAAAACTAATTTTCACAGACCAATCGTAAAAGCCGCGCCAGTTTCAGCTTCAACAAAATGTCCCATTTTCATCTTACTATATATAAAGCGAGACGATATATATATATCTGTGCCATTTTACTGACACCACGGCATCAACTTTAACGCGACTTTCCACAAAAACCGTAAAAGATATACAACCGAAACTTTTTTGACTGGCTCAAATGTTTTAATGGCCTCCGAATCAGCATGAAAAAATAAAAAATTGGCCAAGGAATAATGATTTTAGAGCCCAAAATTTGGACCCCCAAGTGGTGTCAAAAACGCCAATTAAATAGGTAATAATTATTTTAGTCTCTTGAGTCTTGACACCGTTTAGGGTTATATTACACGGGTTCCTGCTAGTTAATATAACGTACGTGCTCTTGTTTTTTCCGTCCTGCATTAACCAGATAACCCACTGTGAATATAAGTGGTACGAGCCAGGTACCTAATAAAAGTATGCTTCCTTGATCCTTCAACATCTACTACTGAACTATATTCGCTATGAGTGGTGCTAATCCGCGCTTGAGTAGAGCTCCAAACTTGTCAACTCGTCGTAACACCGTGTTGATCATGCTTCTCCTCCGAACGGATATATCACAATTCTGTTCCCTCTTCGAGTACTACTACCTCGTATTATGTAGGATTGTTGCCGGCCCAGCTACTGCATTTTCGTTCCCTCCATTATTTCCTGCTCGTGTAAGAGTGCTGCCTTTCTTAATATTATTTTAATTTCATCGACCCTTTTACTTTAGCTTGTAACATATTTTTGCACAACTGCAGAGTCTATCTGCAGGTTTACTCGGAAGTCGGATCTGTCGTGGATTCTGCCGCATACTTATATATAAATATTACCACATTCTTGTAATCGCACCACATTCTTGTATACTTTATATTTGTTTAATTCATATTTTGATTACTACTCAGTTGAGTCTGCCTGGGTAACCAGGTAGGGAATGTTAAAGAAAATGTTAGTCGTCTGGCAAAGTCTACTTAGTTACCAATTCTGTCGAAAAGTCTGTAGAGTCTGTTTTATAGTCTGCCCAGTCTGTTGGAAAGTCAGGCTCTAAGAGGCTCAATTCTACCTGAATTAGCTATTATTAGTTTTATAAATTCCGTTGTACTTTTGTAGTTACGTTAATTCCTAAAACTTTAAACTAGGCCCACAGTCCAAAGCGAATTAACGACAAATGAACCACTCAAATCTACAAAAGTTGAGCGATGATAAATTGCTGTTTATGTTCAAGGGTATATTCCGTGACCTAGCTCCTATTCAAATTCCTCTCTCCGTCATAGTGGTGATTCAGAACACTGTCATTTTTATCGACTATTACAAAGATAGAGCTAAGTTTGCGTCTAGTCTTTTCATGGGAATAGCATTTTTGGACATTCTTAAAGCACAGGGACAACTAATTCTAGCAGTCATCAGCCTTTTGGTTTACGCAGGATATTTTGAGCCTGATGTCCTGTACAAAGCGCTGTTCTATTACATGATAACTGCGCTGCCTGGCATCAACTGTTCCAAGTTATTCAACATGACCCTGACCTTCTCCCTGACTGCCAAGATAGTTGACCCGTTCCGAGTCATCGATACCGATCGCTTGAGGAAAGTAGTGCGAGTACTTTCCTTGATCATTACTCTGCTTCACTTTTCTGATGCCCTCACTGGCATTATTGTGATGTTTGTTGATAAGACGCAAGTGAATGATAAAGGTGTCGTGTATCTCGGATTGATACTCGCGTTCGAGATTCCTGGTATTACCCTCATAGCTGTTGCTATATGCTATCGAGATGCCTCCGGTTACTCTGTATGCACAGATAATTCTCTTCCTTCTATCGTCATAGTGACAGTCCTCTCCACCATTTACTTTTTTGTGCTTCCTCTTACTGTCCTCATCTGCATGGTAATCCAGGTGAAGTATCTGAAGAGGTCACTCCGAGAAGAAGAGATGCCTCATATACCTAACACTTCACGTCATGTATCAATCACCGTCTTCTTGGTTTCAAACCTCTTCTTCTTCTGCAACGTTACCTACTTCTTCTTCGCCTTGGCCTGGGCTATCTCTCATCGCTCCTTTGTCAGTAAGAGCCACCCTGATAACTTTTTCGAGGATCTCGGCAGACAGGTAGGGGCGTTAATTTTCTTTAAAATCCTTGTAGTAACTTGTAGTTACTGCACTTGTAGTAACTGCACTCACAGTTGCTAATTCAACAGCTTAAATTATGTGACACTTTGTTAACCGCATTAAAGTCGTAATATTTACAGTCACTCATCAATAAACAACTTAATCTTAAGATCTTACGAAGTGGAACTGTTCAGGTAGGATTTGCTGATTTCACCCTGCCGCTGATCTATGCAGCAGTCTACCCAGTGATCATCATATCCAGGAAGCCGGAACTGAGGGAGAGGTATTTGGGGTACTACAGACGAGTTGGGCGGTGGTGCTGCACTTGCACTCCTCGGGATAACCAGCCCAACAGCGAGCAATAAGCTATCTTAATTTAAAAGTTATTAGCAAACAGTTTTTATACTGGGGTGGGAGATAAGTGCAAGTATTATGGAATACTCGTGTATCTGTACACATATGGTACACACTTAAGCACTTCACTCCAAGGGTAGTCTAAATATTGCATATTTTTGTATGATTTTGTTGGGTGGTGTGTATTTGCGAATAGAGCTCAAACTTCGCATCTGAATTAGTGAACAAGCATATCGGAAAAATCAAGGCACTGGGACTGGACCGGGAATTGAACCCGGGACCTCCAGCTATCCGGACTGGTGTTATAACCGCTAAACTACCCAGGCCCTAGATACCCTGAAATTTCCAATGACTTTGTTCACGTAATCATAGCTATTATTATCATTACTCTACTCATTGCATTCCACACATCAGGTATAGACAGTTACATGTTATCAATTTTTATACTGGGGTGGGAGATAAGTGCAAGTATTATGGAATACTCGTGTATCTGTACACATATGGTACACACTTAAGCACTTCACTCCAAGGGTAGTCTAAATATTGCATATTTTTGTATGATTTTGTTGGGTGGTGTGTATTTGCGAATAGAGCTCAAACTTCGCATCTGAATTAGTGAACAAGCATATCGGAAAAATCAAGGCACTGGGACTGGACCGGGAATTGAACCCGGGACCTCCAGCTATCCGGACTGTTCAAACAGTTATTGATCAAGTAGCCATAAGTTTGCAGTATCTTGGTATCTTGGTATCTTGGTGTCTTGGTATCCTGGTATCCTGGTATCCTGGTATCCTGGTATCTTGGTATCTAGGTATCTAGGTATCCTGGTATCCTGATATCTTGGTATCTTGGTATCTTGGTGTCCTGGTATCCTGGTATCCTGGTATCTTGTTATCTTGGTATCCTGGTATCTTGGTATCCTGGTATCCTGGTATCTTGGTATCTTGGTATCTTGGTATCTTGGTATCCTGGTATCTTGGTATCTTGGTATCTTGGTATTTTGGTATCTTGGTATCTTGGTATCCTGGTATCTTGGTATCTTGGTATCTTGGTATCTTGGTATCTTGGTATCCTGGTATCCTGGTATCTTGGTATCTTGGTATCTTGGTATCCTGGTATCTTGGTATCTTGGTATCTTGGTATCTTGGTGTCCTGGTATCCTGGTATCCTGGTATCTTGTTATCTTGGTGTCCTGGTATCTTGTTATCCTGGTATCCTGATATCTTGGTATCTTGGTATCTTGGTATCTTGGTATCCTGGTATCTTGGTATCTTGGTATCTTGGTATCTTGGTATCCTGGTATCTTGGTATCTTGGTATCCTGGTATCTTGGTATCTTGGTATCTTGGTATCTTGGTATATTGGTATCCTGGTATCTTGGTATCTTGGTATCTTGGTATCTTGGTATCTAGGTATCTAGGTATCCTGATATCCTGATATCTTGGTATCTTGGTATCTTGGTGTCCTGGTATCCTGGTATCCTGGTATCTTGTTATCTTGGTGTCCTGGTATCTTGTTATCCTGGTATCCTGGTATCTTGGTATCTTGGTATCTTGGTATCTTGGTATCCTGGTATCTTGGTATCTTGGTATCTTGGTATCTTGGTATCTTGGTATCCTGGTATCTTGGTATCTTGGTATCTTGGTATCTTGGTATCCTGGTATCTTGGTATCTTGGTATCTTGGTATCTTGGTATCTTGGTATCTTGGTATCCTGGTATCTTGGTATCTTGGTATCTTGGTATCTTGGTATCTTGGTATCTTGGTATCCTGGTATCCTGGTATCTTGGTATCTTGGTATCTTGGTATCCTGGTATCTTGGTATCTTGGTATCTTGGTATCTTGGTATCTTGGTATCTAGGTATCTAGGTATCCTGATATCCTGATATCTTGGTATCTTGGTATCTTGGTGTCCTGGTATCCTGGTATCCTGGTATCTTGTTATCTTGGTGTCCTGGTATCTTGTTATCCTGGTATCCTGGTATCTTGGTATCTTGGTATCTTGGTATCTTGGTATCTTGGTATCCTGGTATCTTGGTATCTTGGTATCCTGGTATCTTGGTATCTTGGTATCTTGGTATCTTGGTATCTTGGTATATTGGTATCCTGGTATCTTGGTATCTTGGTATCTTGGTATCTTGGTATCTAGGTATCTAGGTATCCTGATATCCTGATATCTTGGTATCTTGGTATCTTGGTGTCCTGGTATCCTGGTATCCTGGTATCTTGTTATCTTGGTGTCCTGGTATCTTGTTATCCTGGTATCCTGGTATCTTGGTATCTTGGTATCTTGGTATCTTGGTATCCTGGTATCTTGGTATCTTGGTATCTTGGTATCTTGGTATCCTGGTATCTTGGTATCTTGGTATCTTGGTATCTTGGTATCTTGGTATCTTGGTTATTTGGTATCTTATGGGAGAAAATATTACAGGACTTGGGATTTATTTATATATAAATAATTTCATGTATACGTACATGTATATTGTATATTATATTTATTCACTATAATTATTGTTACCACAAGTTTGACAAACATTTGCTAAGCGAATAAGAGAGAAATGGTAATATGATTTATTCAATGATAGATTGATTAGAAACAAGTTTAGGAGATGATAAACCTAATAAGCTAATAAGCTAATGTAATAGCTGGTAAGTCAATTGTAATGATTGACATCTCACATATTTTACACAAATAAAAGTAAAAGTTGAGGATACGGGCTTTGGACTGTCGCTGGTAGATTTGAACCTGTTTTACATACATTCTATCACGTAATGATACAAACAGTTTAAAGTGTTGCTTATACGGTAACCAGTGTCTTCAATCTTAGTCCGTCGAAAGAAGAGTCGGTTGAAATGTCAATTAAAATAAAGATTCATCAATGTATTATTTGCTCCATAATAGTAATGTATTTTCTCTACCTGCAGAATGAGTTAACTTAATAATAACAATTAAGTCATTTGAATTGACCAAATATAGTACTGGTATTGTTCATGTTTCAATTTTGATAAATAATATTCGAGTGTGCGTCAGTAAAATTATTTGAATGTCAGTGTAATGGATTATGGATAATGTAATTTTTGTGTGAAAACCTTAATTAATTTTTTCAAAATGGATATTCTATTTTGTCTTTTATTTAAACAGAACAGACATTTGACAAAGAATGATTGGAACAAGTATAACTGTTAGCATAAATATAGTAAAGCGAACAAATGACCAGCAATTGGAAATCAAAAGCTTACTTTTGCTTTTTATGTTGAGCAAAGCTGCATGCACAGTGACTTAATCGTGAAACACGTGATAAGAATAATGAATCATTGATTCACGTCGGAAACTGGAGCATCTAGAAACGTTTAACTTGGCGTTGGTTTTGCTTTTAATTTTACTCGATCAAATTATCTTTAAAATGGATATCTTTACCATCCTGAAATGTTAGACGAAAACGGAAGAATATTTATATAGACACTTTTGACCCAAGAAGTAAGCAAAGGTCAGAAGCGCCCATATGGTTGTTTGACTGTGCTGCAAAACGTGAACTATACTTTTTCAAATGTAAGAAATGGGGTCCTGCATGATAGTGAGAAAACCATATGATTGGCCAACGCCCAACATGGATAAAAACTTACAGAAGCGTGCTTGTAGCTGTTTAGTTTGGTGTTTAGTTGGTGTCAGCAGTTTTTTAGATGTGCCCCATATGAAATGCAATTTGGAATTAAATACGGCATATAAAATATATATGTCCCAATTTATAAATACTGGAGATATAAGTGACCGTTATCAGAGAGGTTCTTAAGAACCTTAAGTTATAACTTACAATCAAATTTTCAATAAGTAACTGAAATTGATCTAAAAAAGTTTACATTATTCACATATGGGCAAATGTAAAAGAATGTATCATAGTATATCAAGAATTGTTAATAATGTCATGTAAATTATATATAAACAATTATATTATGATTGTTTACATTTGTTCAGCAATATCAATAACTACGAAATAATGAATGGCGGATATAGTTAGAACTAATACTGTGCAACAGTGTACTAGCACGTTTTGACATCTTGACAATATCGACATGTGGTTTAACTTGAAATTAATTCATGGTCACCTAGTTGACGTTCTTAATTTTAATTGGCAGTCAATAAGATGACATATATTTCCGACACATAAGAGTTGAGAAGAGGACTGAAAAAGAGTAAACGGACATGTTAGTTGGCAAGTTTGGTAACTGTTAGAATTGAAATTGCCAACCTCAGAGTTATACTTTTCTAGTCTGAATAGCGTGAGCGTTATGCTAAGAACACATTGCAACAACAATTATAAATATAAACTCTTGTAATGTGTAAACTTTGACATAACCATAACCCAAGATAATTTGATAAAATGGGATACTGTATAATTATAACCATTTTGGGAAGATGGCACTTTCAGAGTTAAACATTGATCGAGGATATCAAATGACTTATGACGAAAATTCATCAACAACATCAAATTGGTAGAACCATGGAATACTGACCATCTCCATTGTCCAGTCTTGTTTACCTTTGTCCTATGTTGATCAAGCCTTATCCTTTAAATGTAAGTTTGTAATCGTGTGGTCATGTACTAAATTCAGACCTAAAAATGACTGGATGATTATTTGAGTCCTGTCAAATATTTTAAAATAGTCCCACCAAGCAATAAGCATCTGTTTTTAAGATTTACACGTTGGATATTTTGGTCGAGTGCTTGCAAAACAGCAACGAATATGACGTATGATGACAGTTAATAATTTAAAAACAGCTAAAGTGAACCAAGTTTTACGTACGCCGAATCACAGTCACATAATTTTTGTCCAAACACTTAAACTTGTTGCCTTTGACCATATATGATTGCAAGGAGCTTGAATAATGTGAATCATAACAAGAAGTTTATGTGTGATTTCAGCATGAGGCGCTTGACTCGACCATGACACGTGCACAAGGTCATCTTGCCAAGTACAATATGAGTAATAGTGTTAGTAATACTTAAAGCACGTACGATGAGCTAGATAAAAGAATATGACAGATTTCTGGACTGTTTACCTATGCCCTCTGAATCTCCAACCTAATCACAGTACTCAAGGCACCTTTGCCAGGATGAAATTATAGATAAATTGTCAGAACATGTCCTAAAGTGATACAGCTAGTTCTCTCAGCGTCAGTTCTCTTAAGCTTCAGCGATCGAATGAAATGGTGAATGACAAGCTATGTCTAATGATAGCATGTCAGCTGCGACTAAGTAATACTATCTCTCACTTAGTTTAGTTGCTTACAAAATGCTGATGTTGGTTTTCTATGCTTCAGTTGGCTTACCTCCACTATTAAATAACATTGCCTTATTGCAGCTTGTATCTGATATCTATTGAGATATTTGCTTGTATCCTCCTACTCAGATAGGAGTAGGGCGTGCCTATCAGTTAGTTGTTAAATAATACACCCACGATATCATGACATCAGTCCTTATTTGACTGCACAAGTGCTGACGCAAAATAACTAGCCGCCCGCGCAGCTCACGTGACTTGCACGTGACTCTCGTTTCACCAATCAGTGGTTAGGATCTAACAAGAGAGCCAATCGGCGTGCAGCGGGAAAATCACGTGCTCCTGAAAAAGTAAATTCGCCTACGTATTTGCATGATCGTTGCTTGTTTGGGAATCTTTTTAAATGCCGGTTAACGCTGGAGTTACAGATGGAGTACGAACGTAACAGCCTGTTAGAGTTTTTCTTTCGTCAATATTGGTGCTATCGTTTCGTCATAGTCACCTATTTAATTCTCATATCCGTTAATTATGCATTAGCTTATTCCCAACTTTTGGATTTGTTTTGAAATTCATTCTTTATAAGTAATGCATATTTTTGATTAGTATCTCATTAGTATCTCATTCGTCGAATTGAACATTTAAATCTGAAATCTAGTTCGTAGTTCGTATAATCTATCTTATTATAACTTCGTATAATCTATATATTTATGCTGAGATTTGCATGGTTTATAAGTTTCTAATTCCATTTTGTAATCTCTCCGTAATAATCATAACATTTTGTTCATAATTGAATACTGAGGACCTAAATGAGAATCTCCATTCACTATAAAACAAAGTACGCGAGGTGAATTATACCTGATTTATTTTGTCCTATATAATAGTTAGTACTTAGTGGGGACACTCATAAGTTTCTTGCTCTATTAAATACCTCACACTTTTATCTTATTGGTGGCCCCATTATTACAGTCAGAGGCCAGTGTGGTAATTAACAGTTGGTCCTTAGAGCAGTACTGAAGATATTTATTTTCCATCTCCAGATCCAATTAACAATAATAATAAACCTAAATTTCTAGATTAACAGATTAACGGATAATCTCACGTAACAGGCTATCAAACCTTGAGGTTTCTACCTATTTATGCACTGAACCATTCTACATTTCCCAAAGATCACATACTCTACCTGCTGATTGCTCAGACATCATACAAAATAACCATTCATTTTTTAGAAAACCCCATAAGATCAAGTTCAAGCACTTGACAGTAGTATCCAAGGTGTCCACCAACGTAGGCGGAATTAGTCACGTGATCAAACACCGGCTCCTCATTGGCTGTCTCACCACTGTAGGCCACGCAATAGGTCTTTCCCACCTTGCCAGCATTATGCTTGTTAACGTTGAGCGGTATATTATCACGCTAGCACGTCCGAATACACGCACTGTTGGCACACACTCGCTCAGTACACTATATTATAGTTCTCTGATAAGATATTACCTTGTGTTTTTGAAGACCGTGTGTACTCATCAAGTTTTCAGTTATGTGTAATGACGACCACGCTTATTCTATCTATATTGTCTCTTGTCAGCCTGACATCCTCTTTCACACAGTCCACCAACCTACCAGTTTGCTCGTAAGTATGCTTAAGTTTATTCTTGCATTTCATAAACATTGAAGGTTTTGAACCGACTTCCGTTAAAAAAACGAAAATTTAGGACAATCAGTTTAAAAAAGAGCCCTGGTTAAATATCTCAGAACATATTAGCAATGCTAACACTTTCAGGCCACCGCCACAAGATGATTCCCCGACTATTCAGTGTAACTTCTGCCACCTTGCCTTCAGAAACCCTACTGACCCTGACCCTTGCTCCAGTTTTACCAGGTACCATTAATAGTAATACCACATCATCTGACAAGAATACTTCTTAATTTCGGGAACTAGCAAACTATCCAGATAGATGTCTGTATCGCCAGCGGCCAGTAAACCAATCAGAAAAACTCCATCTTAAGCTCCGAATAAGTTGTTATATTATTTGTAAAACTCAGAATAAGACAGATCCCTAAACTGAGCTTTGCCCCACAGAAGTTTAGACCTGAGAAGCCAGTACTCCAAAACACGACACAGAACCAGAACAGCGGGGGCAGATGAAGATAAACAGATCCCTTCACTAAAGATAACAGAAGAACCTCCCAACTCTGTGGATGTCATGGAAGGAGAATCAGCTGTTATAACTTGTAGAGCAAAGAGTGAGAATACTGAGAATATTGGGTACAGTTGGGAATATGCCAACTCTGACAGAGTCATTGAGGTATAGTGGATCTTATTCTAATGTCACTACTTACGATGTTAGTTGTCATATATTCGTTCCATTAATTCCAGCCTAATCATCGTCCAGCAAACGTATTAAACTGTTGATTTAATAAAAAATTATCACTATTTTATCGTCGGATGAAACTAAAACCTCCCCCACTGCAGGAAATACCAAAAGGAGTAGAGACCCAAGGAAATAAACTGTCCATCGGTAACATGACACAGGAACATTCTGGCTGGTACCAGTGTTCCGCTAGTGACGGCAGCAACCGGGCTCTCTCCAGGAAAACTAAGCTTAACCTAGTTTGTGAGTATCTTTTTAGCTGAAGTGATTGGCTAGTTTGAATAACGTGATCAGAATACAATTCTGTGATAGGCTAATAAATACAATATACGCTAGGAAATTCGCCCATGGTCACTATCATGATTTTAATATTGATTCTGGGGCCAAACCATCGACCCTTTTTAACCAAATTGTAAGATTTAACCATCCACACTAGAAAATATCCATACCAATATCATTATCATGTAAATCAATATTAAACTGTTTTAATATCAGATTTTAACGACACGTTTGAGGACGAGCCTGAGAGTATGACAGTACCCAGTGGGACCCTAATTGTGACACTCACCTGTAGCCCACCAAACTCCTACCCTCCGGCTATTGTCACGTGGTTCAAGTAAGTTTAAATACACTATCTTTGTAATATAATCCCATAGTGTAATTATACTAGTTGAAACCGTGTACCAAGTTTAACATCTCATAGTATCACTTAAAATGGGAAATTCAAAATAGCTTGGCAAGATCAAAACATATCGGTATTCGGTATGACCTCTTAACTAAATGAAGGATCAGTGATAACTCTAAAAATGTTTGAAAGGATTTCCCAACTGAACTTTTTGTAACAGGGACGGACGGGAACTAAAAGCAGAGAACGCACTGAGAATACCAACAGGGTCACTGGCAATACACCACGTGACTGAGGACAATGATGGACTTTACCATTGTGAAGCTAAAAACGAACTGCTCGATGTTAAAGCGGCCAGCAAGAAAGTTACCCTTTCTATTATTAGTAAGCAAAATTTAAAAGTTCATATAAATCTGCATAAACATAGTTGATGAGTATAAAAAAATATGGAAATACAATATACCAGATCTGTGACTACAGTTACAGAAATAACCAGCATCCCCCTCCCCAACCACTACCAACTATTACTTACCATTAACAACCCTCCACCACCAGCACCAGCAATAACCCCAAAACCCCACCTGCCTGAGAAGATGTGGGGAGATACGGAGATCTACACGACAGAAGGAGAAACAATAGACATTACATGTGGGGTATACGGGGAGGACCAGCCCAACATCATGTGGTACAAGGGAACTAACCAGAAGATTACTGATAACCTCGTGTCTTTCTCTCGCTTCTCTATCAGCGACGACCAGGTGAGGTTAACGAGTTACAGGGTTTTTACTCGGTATTGCCAAGTTACCAGGTTCAGTGTAAAGGGGGAAACAGTATTATTGCAAATGAAATAGTATCAAAGTGTCTGAAAAGATGTTAACCACGAAAACCTCTGCAGTACAAGCTGACGATAGAGAATGTGAAGATGTCAGATGCGGCGACCTATATTTGTGTTTCCAGCAACTCTGTAGGCCCCGACAAAGTGCCCAGCAACACCATACTTTGGGTCATATCCGAGTTAAGGTGGGTCCACACCTCCACAAACAGTGTTTATTAATTGCAAAAACCAATCAGTTGATTAAAAAAGTTAATTTGTAAAGACCCGGCTATTTTCTCGAATCCAATCCAAGAATTTCAAATAATTTGCTGAATGAATTGTTCAAGAATGACGTGCTCCACAGGTACACAAAACCGCTGACAGACAGAGTGCTGGTGAAGCAGGATAACTTTGAGTTGAAGTGCGAGGTTACTAGTAACCCTCCAGTTACTATTGAGTGGTTCGCAGACGGTCAGAAACTCGTACGACAAAACAGTGAGTTGGACATAACATCCTACATTTAAATTTTACAATATTATTATTACAATAGTTTAATAACTTTCAATTCATATCCATGACAAAATTTAACTGGTACAGAAATGCAATATTGATACTTTATTTTAGAATATAAGTATTTTCTATGAAGACTCAACAGTGAACACTTGAACAGTGTACTGACCGATAGTTGGATAATATCCGGTTGGACTGACTGTTAACTGATTGACCCCTGTATTCCAGATCACGTGAACCCTCCATTACTGACCCCTCTATTTCAGATCACGTGAACCCTCCATTACTGACCCCTCTATTTCAGATCACGTGGATTGGGGCACTACAATAGACAAAATAGACGGAGGAGAGTTCGCAACTAAAAGCACACTCTACGTCACCAAATCAGTGGTTGATGATACCGGGCTGTATCAGTGTTTTGCCTTCAACCAACACCAAACTGCCATGACCAGCGGCAGCGTCTTCATCAGCTGTACGTGGAGAATATCTTATATCTAATATCTTATGTTCTTGTCGCAAGATAATTGTATCTTGCTTCCGAAACGCACTAGTTTAAAATCGTATTCTTTACAGTAATGAGAATGTGAGAAACGCACAAATTTCTTACTTTATCATTTATAGTATCGCTAGTACTAAACACCGAATATATCACGTGACCTATCAAGATTTAACATCATGAACCACAACGCTCGTATATCTCTGCAGCTGTGTTAGAGTTTGAAGAGGCTCACTTCATAACCTCTGATAAAATGTACGTGGAGGACGGGAATGAGGGTTTCGTGAAGTGTGGAGCTCAGGGGTCCCCCAAACCCCAGGTTCAGTGGGTCGGACTGGATAGGAAGTATACTAATACTGGTTCTACTTCTGAGGGAACGAAAGGTTCGTGACAATACTTTTATTTGTCATGCTATGATTCGTGATGCTTTCTTTATCTGTTACCATAGTTTATTTGTTGTTATGAGAATCAATCCTTATGAATAAGTTTAATTCCTTTTGCTTCCTAAAATTAACAACCCCTTTCTCAGGTTTATCCTCGACAGTGGAACTAAGTTTCCCAATAGGCCCCCTTTTTCTGAATGAGTCAGGGAAGCACGTCTTCACGTGTCTAGCCAGCAACCAACACCGTGGAGTGGAATATTCTAAGATAAGAGAAATAGAGGTGATAGTGGGCTACCCGGCTCAGTGGGTAAATGGAACCTGGCCGGTAGTGGAGACCGCTAAAGGGGAGTCGGCGGTGCTCGCTTGCCAGTTCTCTGGGATCCCCAAACCTGTTGTCAGTTGGAAGAGAAACGGAGTTAGCTTACCGATAGTTGACGATAAGGGGAACTCCAACCACGTGGTAAGATAAGATTTGTATAGTATTTGGCAAAAAACAGTCGTTTGTTGTTTCTTCAAGAATCATCGCTGAAAACATACATTCTTTATTATTTAAATCTGAATCATACTGAATGTTATGAAATTGAATCTAATTACAGTTTATTAACATCACCATAAATTCAGCTTCAAAAAGACGGAGCACTCCTGGTAGCATCAGCAGCAAACAGTGACCATACCATGTTTACTTGTGTAGGAACTAACGGCTTCAACAGTGCCCCCAAAGATATTCAGCTCATTGTTGCCTGTAAGTGTGTATATTTGAAACTGTATTGTAATTAAAAATTGTGAAACTTGTTTTCTTCTATCAACAATTTTCCAACAGAGTACTTTAACTTAAACAGGACAGTGGTCCTGAAGTTCACATCCGAAAATTTATTTCTTATTTATCTCAGCGGGGGTAATGTCTGTGGCTGCAGCATCAGGATTGGGTATTGGAATCATCCTCCTAATCTGCTTCATTCTGCTGATCATGATCCTGCTGTATCGTTATCAGCGCAGAAAGAAGAAAGTGGATGTTGCTGTCAGTCATAATGGAAATGGTATAGACTCAGGTGGGTTATTATTGGTCTATTGTTATTTTCAACTCGATAACTCGAGTTCAGACTGAACTGGAAAGCCACATGATTTAGAAAAGTTTTATGTTGATATACAATGAATGTCTTTAATTCTATCCTTTAAGTTGATCCACATTCAACTGACTGCTTTTTCAGTGTACGCCAATAGTAAAGCTGCAGAGTTACTTAAAGAAGAGGAAGAAGCTAAGCGTCTAGCAGAAGAACAGCGACGTCGAGAGGAAGAAAAGAAGAGAGAGGAGGTAGAAAGACGGCGTCGTGAGGAAGAAGAGGCCGAGAGAATAAGGCGGGAAGCTGAGGAAGCAGAAAGATTGAGGCAAGAAGAGGAAGAGAGATTGCGTTTAGAGGCAGAGAAGGAGAAATTGCGTTTAGAGGCAGAGGCAAAAGCACGACGTGACGAAGAAGAAAAGGATATGCTTGAAGCTGAGATACTGGCCAGACGAGAAGCTGAAGCAGCAGAAGCTGAGCGCCTAAGATTAGAAGAAGAAGAAAAGGCACGACTAGAAGCCGAAGAAGCTGAACGTTTGAGGCTAGAAGAAGAAGAAAAGGCCAGATTAGAAGCCGAAGAAGCTGAACGTTTGAGATTAGAAGAAGAAGAAAAGTCAGATTAGAAGCCGAAGAAGCTGAACGATTAAGATTAAAAGAAGAAGAAAAAGCACGACTTGAAGCAGAGGAAAAGGCACGTCTTGAAGCCGAAGAAGCTGAACGTTTGAGGCTAGAAGAAGAAGAAAAGGCCAGATTAGAAGCCGAAGAAGCTAAACGTCTGAGTTTAGAGGAAGAAGAAAACGCCCGATTAGAAGCCGAAGAAGCTGAACGATTGAGATTAGAAGAAGAAGAGAAGGCCCGATTAGAAGCCGAAGAAAAGACCCGCCTCGAGGCCGAAGAAGCTGAACGTTTGAGATTAGAGGAAGAAGAAAAGGCCCGATTAGAAGCCGAAGAAGCTGAACGATTGAGATTAGAAGAAGAAGAGAAGGCCCGATTAGAAGCCGAAGAAAAGGCTCGCCTTGAGGCCGAAGAAGCTGAACGTTTACGGTTAGAAGAAGAAGGAAAGGCCCGAGTAGAAGCTGAAGAAACAGCCAGACTTGGAGCTGAAGAAGCTGAACGTTTAAAGCTAGAGAGAGAAGAGCAAGCCCGTCTAGTAGCTGAGGAAAAGGTTCGTTTAGAAGCTGAAGAAAAGGCTCGTTTAGAAGCTGAAGAAGCAGAACGTTTAAGGTTGGAGGAGGAAGAGAGACTTCGAAAAGAAGAAGAAGAAAGATTAAGATTAGAAGCAGAAGAAAAAGCTAGATTAGAGGCCGAGGAAAAGGCCAGGTTAGAAGCCGAAGAGAAAGCCAGATTAGAAGCCGAAGAAAATGCTCGATTAGAAGCCGAGGAGAGGGCTAGACTCGAGGCCGAAGAGAAAGCGAGACTAGAAGCGGAGGCAATACAACGGATAGCTGTTGAGAAGGCTAGGATGGAAGCGGAAGAAGCTGAAAGGCTTCAAATGGAGGAGAATCGACTAAAAGAAGAGGAGGAGAGAATCCTCATGATGCAACGAAAAGAACAGGAGGAAAGACTCAGACGGGAAGAAGATGGTAGGTTTTTTTCTGCCACCAGAAATATTTTTGAAATCGCGACCATAGTTCTTTTTTATTAGTGTTGTTCGATTACTTAAATATCTAGAATGTTTGGAAATAAATCAAACAAAACTAAAGCTAATCACAATTTCAGAGCGGCAAGCTCGCGAAGCATTCGAGCAGGAAGAAGAAGCAGAAGCAGAAAGGAAAGCGGCAGAGAAGGAGGCAGCTCGAGAAGAAGGTAACATAATAGTTTTAAATCTTCATCATTCACCAATCACCATCAATATGACTCAACGATTCTAACAATTTAAAGTTTTGTACGATTTAAAATTAGCTTTTAACCACTACAGCACATGAATTAATAAACTTTCCCACAGCACAACGAAAACTTGATGAAGACACCGCTAGAGCGAGAGCAGAGGAAGAAGCTGCTCTCAGAAAACAGAAGGATATCCATAATAGAAATCAGGAACTTGCTGAGAAAGAGTTTAGGGCTGCCAAGGCTGCCGAGGTTCAAGCTGAGCAATCTGTTCAAGAATCAAAGGTAAGACTGAAGGTGCAAACACGGAACTGGAAGAAGTCGTTTAAATGATCTTGTAACTAATCCCAATAAAGCTGAGATCAAATGATTCTATTTTTGAGAACTTAATATGAGTGATTTGATCGAACAAGAACATGACTTTAACATGTCTGGTAGTACCAGACATTATCTTTAAATTTATTGATTATATAAACGTATCCCAAACATTACTGATGTTTAGAAACCTAATTCAGAGTGACCGAGAACTGGAGATAGCCAACAGGATGAGAGACGGAGCTCTGGTGCGAGCTCAAAGAGCCACCATCAACAAGGATCTGGCAGATGCTACTGTTACTAGAGATGTGAAGAAACTTAAACCGATGATCAGCAAGGCTGAGAAGAAACGAGTCAACGGGACGGAAAACTACCTTCTCCAGGCCAAGAAACTGTACGAGCAATTACAGGCTGCCACACAGTTACAGGGCGCTACATTTGACAGGAGAATAGCCGACATCGAGTCTGCCATACATGCTATAAAGAAGGGAGGATTTGAGACTCTCTTGGCTGTGGAACTGCTAGAAGCTCAGGTAAATACCATTTGTTTTTGTTGTAGATACTAACCTTCACTCCCTACAGCGACACAGGTTCAAGGCACCTCGAGCGGCGAGTAGTGTGATCAAGAAGTACGTGAACTGGAACCGGCCCGTCAAGAAGATAAAGAAAGAGGAGGTGCTGGGGAGACGAGTAGAGGCCCTGGAGAGCACATTGTCTCTTCTGAGGGAGGAGAAGGAGTGTCTCTGTGTGGTAGAGGCGACCGAGGTAATATTCCCTGGCTCATTTCCACCAGAGTTCATGTTTCGAAGAGGACGGGGGATTCCAGCTGACCCTGACAGCACGGCCCGCTTGTGAAGAGTGAAGACTCATCCGTGTAATACTCATAGAGATATCCTACATATCCTACCTATCTGTCTACTCCTGTTTAAATGGTCCATGTTCAGCTACATACAGATCTACGTTCAATGTCCCAGCAGATCAACAAAGATCCCAGATGTTTATTTTCTTCTAATCTGAAATCAAAATCCAGAATTTTTGTTTTTGTCAAAGTTTTTTTTCTGGACGTTAACAAGCTAAGCGAGACGAGTACATGTTACAGATTTGTAGAGTACGTGTCGCAAAGCATGAGATTTAATATTTCCAACAAGCACGTAGACTCTTAAAATAGGTCCTTTTGTTGACTGCAAACAAACGCAGCTTCTTCGTCAAGTTTGGGCAGGATCGCAATTAAATCACGTCAATCTAGATCGGGCCAATATATCTTACGTGTGCAATTGAGTTTTTAAATCATATTATTTAAAACGTTGCCACATTTTAAAGTTATCAGTATCATCATAACGTAATCATGACAAAACAATGAGAGTATTATTTAAGCAGCAAATAAGGGCGGAGTCATTAAATCAGCATGTATTCAGGTGTTACTAAAGAAGCTGAAGAGGATTCAGAAGGCAGCATTGGAGGTAGCTAAACTGTCCCAACAGACTATAGCTATTATGAAGAGTTACAACAAGCCACCAGATGTCGTCACTCAGGTAAGAATTATAAACAGAGGCGAACGAATGTATGTGCTGTTCAAATATCTAAACTTAAACAAAAATGTATCTTGCAACATCACAAAAATTGAGAAAAAAGATAGAAAAAATAGATCATATAAGATAACCATTAGAACCAGAGAGAGAGAGGTGGAAGTACAGTTGCAGTATGCGCTCGTTGCATATTTAAGTTTACTGCATTATTAAAATCCAATCTTCACCGTCTAGTAACTATTATAAGTAAGAAAAAAAAGTGAGGTCACTGATTTATAGCTGATATTTGTGCGATGTCCCTACCATCACGTCATCACCTAAATCACTACAGTGATTGCATAATTATCTAATTATATAATTCAAGTACACAATTTACAGGTGATGAGGTCAGTCTTCCTGTTGCTAGGAAACAAGTCAAGCGAGTTACAGACTTGGCCCGATATCCTGATACAGCTGAACAAGATCGGGAAAATAAACACTAAAAGAAGGATCCAGTGCTGTGTCCCAGAGGACATTGACTACAGTGCTGCTCAGAAGGTACGTCCTAGCTACTTTAAACAAAGCTCAACTTAGCACAATCACATTTAAATACACTCTGAAATATGGTTCCTTTCTAATGTCTGAGATTGCTCGTATAAAACCATTAACACATTTCTCAGAAAGGGAACCCAGCGTGAATGTTATTTGATTAAGATGAAAATTTACTTAAAATGGCAAAGTTTAATGTAGTTTAAGAGCATTAGGTGACCAGCATAACAGCGATTACTAAAAGGTTCTCGAAAAAAAAGTATCTTTTGAGTTGTCTCTCTAAGGTATCTAATCCACCAGGTTGAGCTGATACTGTGTAAGTACGATGAAGAGTTGGTGTTCGACACAACGCAAGCTTTGGGTGTCTTCTACAATTGGGTAACGTTGCTTTAACTGACTTTTTGATTCTAAATTCAACTCTGAATACTTTATTAAAGAATCAATATCTTATACTGGGGGTGCCACCTAGAATCTTTTTAGGGTCTTAATGAATAAAATAACATAAGTCTGATCTAACCCTCTTTATTCTACAGGCTGAATGCATTGCGGACGAAAGGTTGGCATTACCAGTAAAGATAACCGAGAAGAACAAATCTAGCGGTTTATTCGGAGCAGCAAGACCACCTCCACTACAAGAAGGAGGGATAGTCGCTTCAGGGACTCCTCCCACTAAAAAGAAGAAATTCAAACCTCCACCAGATACTGCCGGCTCTAAAGGGAAGAAAGAGGGGAAGAAAAAGAAAAAGTCTGCAGTTGCTGCAAACGGTAGTATCAGCCAGTCAAATCTGCCACCCCCTCCGAAATTCCTTTTTAATGGTGATCGGTGACAGTCGTGTCTAGTATCTAGGTTTTATATCGACCAGTTTTGTGATGATTTTATCGTTTCGCCAAGAAGGTAGATGAATAAGAGATGTATTGACGATCAGTTTTCAGAATTATAGGTGAAACATGCACATCACGCTGCAAATTAAGTGCAATATTTGTGTGCTTTGCTGGAAACAAAGCCATTTCAAGGACTTGATTTCGATCTTCTCTCCACTGATTTGATGAAAAGCTGCGTGATGTTTTGATAATTGAATTGTGTTGCATGTTCTGAACACTCCCAGCACTGTACAGCCGTCTGTACTGAAGAGACTATAAACTTAACGCATTTGACTTTTGTACAAACTTTTTATGTATGGTATGATTTTTTGATACTTTCTTAATTTATTTTAAAATTCTGTTTTCTATTTTAAAAGTTGGCAGATTAAGCTACATATTAAAAATGTGTAAGTTTTAAATTTTTACTGACAAATAAAAAGATTGGGATAATCAAATCTGAATAAAAACTCCGGGCTACACCCAAAATAAACACAGAAGCATTGTAGATCTTGCCAGTTCAGAAATGAGCAATTCTTAAGTCAAGATAAAAGAAGTGAAAATTCAGGAAAACGCCAAAAAATAGCCTCAAACAGGGCGACTAACAGTCAAATACCTTACTTATCACAATTCAGACTTTATATAGCTCTCAAGGTCTCAACTCATTGATCTTAAGATTTAAACACTGGCCTCTTTAAAAACTTACTGTAATAGAAATGTCGAATAAGCCAGGGCTCAATAATGATGACAAGTCAAGCAACCACCTCAACAAATATATGAACGACTATAAGATTGTGGCCCTAATAATGTCCTCATAACACGCTATACCTTCCTCCAGCAGTCCTTGCTCCACTACCAAACGAGAACATCTGAGCTTTGTTCAGCTCTTCTTTTATCATTCGCTTCAGTTCCATCTTAGCTAGTTGGATAGCGCGCTCTTTAGCTCCCTCAATACAAATGAACAACTGAAACACACAGCAGGTTAATAAAGGTTATGGTCAGGGCTATAATATAATACCCGCAGTAGGTACTGACACACACATCAGGTTATCATGATTCCAGAACTAATAGTTGGATTCTAACATTCTAGCACCTTAGAATAATATATAAGGACTTGATTAAAGTTAATATTATAAACATGTTGCTCGAGTAATCTGAAATATATTTACCTTTCTCATTCCCTCTGGAGGGTTTTTATTGGGAGGATAGTAGGTTCCCCGCACGGTGAGCGCACACTCGCTGTACTCCTGTATACTGGCTATAGCGTCCTTACTCGTGATCCGGTACCTGGAACACGTGAATTGTTAAGTAAACACGTGATATATTGTGTAAACACGTGATATATCGTGTAAACATGTGATATATCGTGTAAAAACGTGATATATCGTGTAAACACGTGATATATCGTGTAATATCAGACATGTTGTGTAAAACAAAGCATTAAGGTCCCTGTTTGGAGCAATAGTGAAGCCGTACTGTGGGGATTATTAAACCAAAGTAAACAAAGTCTTACCTAGCTTGTTGAGGCAAGTCATTGATCTCAATCTCCTCCTCCACCTTAGCTGGCGGAGCAACAGTTGGGTTGACAAGCAGATCCTCCTCGTTTGCTTTGGTGAAGTTCTTTTTAGCGTTGATACTGGCCGCTATCTGCGCAGCTAGACCTTTACCTGGAAAAGTGACACATGTAAGACACTTGTTAGTTGGATACCTGGAAATGTCATACTTGTAAGTTGAATTAAGTACGAAAAATAAGGAGCTGTGTAACTTAATGTAGACCCAGATTTAGCAGGAAACAAGCTGAACCGAAATAATGAACTAGATAACTAGATGTTATTCATATTATGACTATGTGTACAGGAAATATATTTCTTCAGTTCTCTAGTATTCATAGTAATGAATAAAAAGCTATTTTTGCGCTTTTGTGTCCTTTAGGGGTACACAAACACACACATACACACACCCACGCACCAACGCACCCACGCACCCACGCACCAACGCACCCACGCACACAATCAGACAAGATAGTTCTTGTCCGGTATATAATATAGTTCTCTGCCTAAATAAAGAATAATAAGTGGTTGCAAAAGATAATAACTCTCAAAGCTAGAGTAATTTTAGCAGCTACTGGGTGCATTAAAATAAAGAATTGAAATGGCTGCATTGCGGTCTTTGTTTATCGTATCTCATTTTTAAAGACATCTCTTGCATCTATAAATACGAAATAGTTCACAATTTAACAAAGCCTGTGACGATACTATTTTCTTAACCACCTCGGAATTAATCGAGGATTACATTGTTTCGATAATTTTATTCGACAAAAGTTTTCTTATTATTCAGATATGACATTGTACCGCAGCCAAAATCCGTTCAAATGAATAAAATGCTGGTGCTGAATATGAACATTGAATGCTTAAACTTTAAAAATAAACAAAACAATTTAACAACGATTTTTATTGCCAGGTAGTGTCATGGTATCTGGAATCCTCAACACAATATTCATTACGATCAACATTCAAATGCTGTTCAATCTTTTTCTCGTCTCCAACTTAGTTGAATCAGCCGGTTTTAAAAATGTAACTCAATGGGGTGATCTGAAGGATGGCGGTCTAAGCAGTAATTCTTGGAATAACTTTGAACTTGGAGTGTTCGTAATCTCTCACGGCCCCACAAGTGAGGCGAGCCGTGTCTCATCACAAATAAAACCAAAACAGGTGCAGGACGATAAAAATGAAAGAATTTTTCCAATCTCAATCATCATGACAATTACAAGCTGTAGCCCTGCCCTGATCTTCGCTCCTCTAAACTTGAGAATCCTCAAATCTTTCTTTCTCATCGCCCAAAAGAAGCCAATGTACTTGTTTTTTTCCGCTGTTCATCTGGTCTGCCTAACAGATCTGATTGTTGCAGTTGTTGAGGGGGTGTTACTTTGGAAGGAAATTTCTCGAATTGGCTGTGAGGTCTTAGGAGGTATACAGATGGCCATATTCTTGAACCAGTCCCTCATTTTATCCACGATATGTCTTTATCGAATCACTGCAGTAGTAAAACCAAGACGATACAAGAATATTGCAAAACGAAACATCGTCCTGAAAATCATCACGGGGATCATAATTTTATCCGGCTTTGTGTCCACTTTGCTGATCGTGTCTGACACGACACGTTTTAAATACCTTGGTCCACCACAATCTGTTGGTTGCTCCTTGTTCATGATCCACGAAATATTGAATCTCTTCATGTCTGTACTAGTCACTGGAACACTTCATGTAATCTTCATCCTGGCATGCACTTACTGTGTTCTGTACCGGTACTTCAGTAAACCAATGACCACCACTCAAGATGTTACCATTATGAGACAAGGTGCACTTTTCGTTACTTCCCTCACCACATTCTCTTACTTTATCTGCTACTTTCCTGCTGTGGTCGTTAACTTTATCCTGACTATTGACCCTACAATTATCTTGGGACTAGGATCTCCCTACAGACTCATCATGGATTTTATCCTCACGTTTCTACCTCACATATACTCCTGCGTACTGCCACTCTGTCTGGTAACTGGTAAGACTCTGAAACGGGTTGCAGTATCGGCCAGAGCTACCAAACAGTCCATCGTGACGGTGAGGCTCACACAAAAAAGTGTGTGAGAAAGTGGAAACACAGAAGATCTTTGGACAAATCAGTCGAGGTTAGCTGCAGTGAGAAGGGGGCGTTCACATATTACGTAATCAATATTTTAGAAATTTTTACCCCCCTCCTGACAGCAAAATTACGTAATCATGGCCTGACCCCCCCCCCCCCCCCCCCCCTTTTCATGCTACCCTGATCATTATGAGCCGAAATCATTGTTATGATATCCGGCCAAGCACCTTTACTTTAGCAGCCGGATACCCGATCCATTCCTAAATTTTATCACTATCAGAGTGAAATTGAGTGGAATTCGAATTAAAATTTTGTCAAGTTGATATTATTGTAGAGGGTAAAAAAGAAAATTTTGATTACGTAATCAATTTCAACAGCCAAACCCCCCCCCCCCCCCCGTAATCAACCGTAATCATTTGGGAACCCCCTCCCCCCTCGGCTGATTACATAATATGTGAACCACCCCTAAGCATTGGAGTGTGATACTTCAAATCACACAGCGTGAGAAGGATTTTAACATTCCCAAGCAGAATCAATTCCAAGACACTCAACATCACTACTCAGAAAAGTAGAGGAGAATTTGACAGCGGACACTTGGAACTGCTGCTGAGATTTGGGACGAGGAGTAAGAAAACTAAGTCTCTCAAGACATAAACTAAGATCTTCAGCCTGGTTCCTGGGTAGAGCGAACTGTATTTCCAATCCCTACCAGGAGGTTTTAACTGACCAATCTAAAGCAGAGTTGGGCATAAGTTTAGACATTGATGCTGTATTGATGACAACAATAACTCAAAAATAAATAAATAAAAATAAACTAAATTTAGATACTGATAATTAATGCTGTTTTCATAGCTTGGTATTAGTTTTCCTGTTAATTAAGTTCAAAAAATTATGCAATGTAGTGATATTGTCTATTGAATATAACTAAGTGGTCTCTAATATGTAATAGATATCTCTCTAAGCTAGAGTGGTATCATCTTAGCATCTATTGGATCTATAAAAAATGGTAAAATGACTGCAAAAGAAGCTTGTTATCACCAATGCTCTACTTGTGAAGGCTCTGCGACACAGTGGCTTTTGTTGACAATATCTTATTTAAAACATCTATAAGTAGTAACAAAGCATGTGGCGATAGTGTTTGCGAATCACCCTACTACTGCCCAGTGCCCACGATTCACTCCTGTCGAACTTGGTTACGTGTCGTATTAGAGTCCAGATAGCTAGTTTGACATAGCCGAACTTAAGGGTTTGTCGAACTAAAGTACGTGTCGAACAAGGATACGTGTCGAACAGAGGCAACATATTATAAGTGCGGCTGGTGCAGAATCGTACTATTAGCCGTTTCCCGCACATATTCTTACTAACAGTCGTTTTTCCGCACTTTTTCGCACAATTTGTTTTCAAAACGCAGAGTATTGGCTATTAACTTAATGAATCGTTTACCTCGATACCAAATATTTTATATATTCCGACCAGAGTGCCGTCAAATCATCTTTTGATGAAACATAGAAATGGAATAGAATCGTGCCGTTAAATCATAGCGATATTTCTAAATGTATGCTATTTTTGATGAAATATGTACTGTATAGCAATAATTCCATTTTGAGAATGCAGATGGTGTAACTTTTGGATAAAAGGACACCAAATTTCTTTGGTGAGCCAATGATCCCAACGTGAAGATTGCATCTTGCACTCTTACAAGTCACAGGTTTAGAAGAATCACATCATCATACCAATATGCTGTGAGATAACTTATATCAGACTGATCAGAGTCATTCAATAATCATATCTCTTATCAGTACTTGCTCTTTTGCTGTTAGGGATTGTTCATAGGTTTTTGGCCATCGTTACAGGCATTTTTGAAGACGTCAGCAATGCCAAAAATCGTTGCACTCGAGCCGAACTATTCGCCAAAGTTGCCGCACATTAAGCAAATTCAGGCAACTGCGGAATCTCTGGTGTCGAACTAGAGTACGTGTACATACATAAAACTATAAAATAGTTCAGAATTAATCGAGGATCAAATTGTTTCGATGATCTTATTTGATGAACATCTTTTTATTATTCAATAGGATGGGACATTATACCGCAGCTAAAATCCGTTAAAGCTAATGAAATGCTGAAACTGAAAGTATGCTCGGATAAATTCAGGTAACAGCTATCTATAATCTTCACCTGTAAAGTACTTTTGATGTTTCCAATATGAACGTTTGAAAATAAACAACAGAATTTTTATTGCCAGGTAGTGCCATGGTGTCTGGAATCCTCAACACAATCCTCATTACGATCAACATTCAAATACTTCTCAATCCAAATCTGTTTCTCGTCTCTAACATGGTTGAGTCGGCTGGTGGATTTGGACTGATCGTCATCTCTGAGAGCCCTACAAGTGAGGCGATCAAAAACTCATCACCAATTACACAAAAACAGGTGCAGGACGTTAAAAATAAGGAACAGGCCGGTCATAAAAATGAAAATCGAATCGATGATCTGACGGATGACAGTCTAGGTCTTAATTCTAAATTTCTGCCAGTGGTAGATACCCCGTTATGGGTTCATACTTTGCCATCCCGAGATAGATTGTTTGATGGTTCAGAATTTCGTTCTAGAGGGGCTTCTGGTGGGGATACAAACAATGTATTTGGAGTGATCATTATCTCTAAGAGCCCTATAAGTGAGGCGAACAGTGACTCATCACCAATTACACAAAAACATGTGGACGATAAAAATGAGGAACAGGACGCAAGAATTTTTCCGATCTCAATCTTCATGACAATTACAACCTGTAGCCCTGCCATGATCTTCGCTCCTCTAAACGCAAGAATCCTCAAATCCTTCTTTCTCATCGCCCAACAGAAACAGCCAATGTACTTGTTTTTTGCCGCTGTTCATATGGTTTGCATATCAGATCTGATTGTTGCAGTTGTTGAGGGGGTGTTACTTTGGAAGGAAATTTCTCGAATTGGCTGCGAGGTCTTAGGAGGTATACAGATGGCCATATTCTTGAACCAGTCCCTCATTTTATCCACGC